ATATGGATAAAATTCGTTCATATACAGTCTATATATTATACAAATATATCATATATAATATGTGTCTGTATATATAGTTGCTCTTTCATAACATTCAATCTTCATTCACGCATGATTTCTACTAAAACATATTTATTAACATATTTATGTAAAATTCAGTAACAGAAAGATTTACATTAAAATTACACTTTGTTATACGTCAAAGTGTATGAAAAATTTATAATAAACATAAAATCAAATAGTTTGATTACGAAAATGTATAAATAGGTGCAGTATTTATACGCATTAGAATAATGTATTTCGGTTGTTGTATCTCACTTCTTTTCTTTTAATAATATAAATAATATTCGTGTTTTCGACGATACAAAAGATTCAATGGCTCGACTTATCCTAGTACATATATCTACATAGAAAAATATATTACGATTTGGACTACACAATACTTATCAACATTGTCTTGGACATAGAAGTACTTGCGAAAAGATATGATTTAATTAGTAAAATAGTGATTTATGGCCAAATGTTCAGGCACATTTTCCATCGGTCCATTGATCCATACTTTTTTATCAATAACATGCACCAGGTGTGTGTTATAAAAATTAGATATCTGTAAGATTTCTACATAAATTAATACTAATTATTGTTGCTCTAGAAATGTTTGGATACGGACGGATGATAATATATGGACGGTACCAATATACACTCTCTCATGTCTCGTTCATATTTGAAAATATACAGAATTACACATATCAGGCTTGGAACCGGGTTGCACATTTCGACCGATTTTGCCTACCGCCATCCCTATTTCTTTTGTTTCATAGCATTTAGACTACACGCAAAGACATAGAACAATCGAGTTCTGGAATAATATTAGTTGTAAATTAGTATAAATCATACAGTTCACTGAGGCTATATGACTTTGAAACATATTGCCCTACGTTCACTGTTTATAGAGTTTTATTATTATTGTATTATGTACCTGAACTCGATCGTTCTGTCTCCGTGCGCAGTCTAAGGTCATAAGGATTAAAAAACATAAGCAGTAAACGAATTGACCAATCACAGTAAAATCCATAAAGCCATAATGGAAGTAGTAGCTAATCCAACATGTTGATTTCCGTCTGCTTACGTCTTAGATAAAGAGTACAGACTTTTACATAACACATAACACGTAATGCATAAGGAAATGTACCAATCAAAATCCTTCGTTTCCAGAAATAAAGAATTCTAAAATAAAGATTGGTTGAATTTTTTATGCCTTACGTATTATACATTATGCAAAAGTTTGTGCTCCACGCTTTACTGCTTTAATTTTTTTGTATGCCATGGCCTTAAATGCTATGAAACAAAAGGAATAGGGATCACAATAGGCAAAATCAATCGAAATGTGCAACTCGGCTCCAGGCCTGACATATATAAAAATACAGTTAGAATAATTCAATGCTATTTATATATGCATGTATATATATATATGTATATATATATATGTATGTATATATATA